CTGTTGATTGAAATGGCTCTTTTGTTTTAAGTTATGTACATATTTTTGTTAGATTATTTAAAAGATTTTAACAACCAACCAATTATTTTCCCCCCATACATTTAGTTGGCAGATAAAATGGGTGATCAAGTAAAAAAAAGTTGCAGTTCTGTCAAATACTTTGTTAAAACTACTTTTGGTAGTCCAGAAACTGCAGTTTTGTCATTATTTAAGGTTTTTGGTAATGCACTGGCTTAATTTAGGATTTTCTAATAAAAATTATAACCATAATTACTTTATTGGTAAGAACTGCTTTTAATATTTTTTTACCTTTTGAAAACAAACAACCAAACAAATCAGAACATTAAAAAATGTTGTATGCAAGATAACAAACAAACAAACAAAATTATTTATTTTGGTGTATATATCAATTCAAATCAAATCAGTATTAATCAAATTTAAAATTTGAGGCCAGCTCTATCTTATCTTATCTTATCTTATCTTGTCTTGTCTTGTCTTGTCTTATACTTAATTTTGGAAGACAAAGGCAAGGAATGACAGAAAACTAGAAAGTATGGTTAAAAAAAATATTGTACTCATCCTCATTCCCATTAAATAGTAGAGTTTAACATGGAAATAAATGTATTTTTACAGAACTTATTTTGTGTGATGCTAACATCACAGACTACATTTGTATATAATATATATATGTATAAATACAGTATATATGTATTATAACTATTTACTATATTTGCTCAGCAAGAACACCAAAAATTATTTCTTTTGGAATTTGCAAAGACGGAAAATAATTTATGGTCTTCAGACTAAATTCTCTGCTGCTGAAAACATCTGGATTTGTATTATAATTAGGTTTCTAAACCATGTCACAACTCATATTTGAATAAAAACCATTTTAATATGTTAAACTGCGAGAATTACATATTTTACAAAAATTAGCAACTTGTATCTTCTACAGTTTTGTTTCTTTCCACAGTTTTTTCTTTTTCTTTTTTCTTTCTTTCTTTTTTCTTTTTTTTTTTTTACAATTCATCCATTTAAATAAGTTTTACATGAAAACACAAGAATACAGTTGCATAATGTATTTTTTCTAACTAACATATTGTGGAATTTTTATGGTGGCTCTTTATGCATTGCACCTTTCTGTTGTTCTGACAGCTGGCTGATTTCTTTACGTGTTGCCTTGACTTTAGCTTCCAGTCTCCTTCTCCATGGTGTTTAATGCTCCATATTGATTGGCTTGCAGCTGGGAGGTGGAAAAGTGGTTAATTCACATGACTTTGGTGGAGTCATATCAGAGGTTCAGAGTTCGAATCCTGGCGCCAACCTCAAGAGTTATACTATAAGCAAGAGACAACATGACGAGGATGTTGCCTGGAATAACGTCTGTATCAGATGTTGGGGAACCAGGATATTCTGATGAGAAACTGACTACTGGAACAAGACATGCATGGATAAGGGCAGATATTTTAATACTGCTGGAATTGATTTAAGTCATATTTATCTGATAGATTCCAATTTGTAAATGTAAATAATAAATATTCGTCATACACCAAAGTTAGTCCTGAAGTTCCTCAAGGTTCAGTACTTGGCCCAATACTCTACCTTATATATGCTTCCATTAGGTAAAGTTATTAAACAGCATGGGATCAATTTTCATTGTTATGCTGATGATACACAGTTATAATTGTCCATGAAACCCAATGAATCCAATCAGCTACTTAGACTACAAGCATGTCTTAAAGACATAAAAATCTGGATGACACTAACTTTTCTGCTTTTGAACACAGACAAGACGGAGGTTTTAGTTTTTGGACCTGAACATCTTAGGAATCAATTTTTCAGTCTTTTGCCATCCTTGGATGGCATTAATCTTAATCTGGCCTCCAGCTCTAATGTTAAAAATCTTGGTGTTATTTTTGATTAGGACATGTCTTTTATCCCCTACATTAAAAATGTTACTAGAACCACTTTCTTCCACCTGTGTAATATAATTAAAATTAGAAACATATTGTCTAAAAATGATGCAGAAAAACTAGTTCATGCATTTGTCACATCTAGACTGAACTATTGCAATGGTTTGTTATCCGAGTGTCAAAAACGTCTTTAAAAAGTCTTGAGTTAATCCAAAATGCTGCTGCCAGAGTCTTAAATGGAGTTAGCAGGAGAGATCATATCTCTCCAGTTTTAGCTTTTCTTCATTGGCTCCCTGTCAAATCTAGAATATAATTCAAAATCTTACTTCTAACCTACAAAGCTCTCAAAAATCCTAGCTCCATCGTATATTTGAGATTTTACTGTTCCATGTTTTCATAACAGAGCACTTCACTCTCATACTGCAGGATTACTTGTGGTTCCTAGAGTTTCCAAGAGCAGAATGGGAGGAAGATCTTTCAGTTATCAGGCTCCTCTCTTGTGGAACCAACTTCCAGTTTCTGTCCGTAAGGCTGACACATTGTCCAGTTTTAAGACTGGGCTTAAGACTTTCCTTTTTGATAAATTCTATAGTTAGGTTTGGCTCGATATGCTACCATATGCTTAGAGTACTGAGGACAAATTGACCTCATTTCCTTAAATGAATCATTAAAATTGATTAGTTTTCATTTGATACTATTTCTATCTTAACATGTGATTCTCGACCTGCCATTGTGTATCTGTCTTTGTTTCCTGTTCCTCTCAAACCCAGTCGGTTGAAGCAGATGGTCGCTTGTACTGAGCCTGGTTCTGCTAAAGGTTTCTTCCTCATGAGGGAGTTTTTCCTTTCCACTTTTGCCTTCATGTTTGCTCAAGATGAGAGTTCTGTGATGGAGTTAAATTCAAAGCAGTCTGCTCCTCAGATAAATAGTGTTAACTTGTTTTTTTTTTTATATATATGAATGTTTCTGTTCAGTGTCCTGAGGTGACTTCGGTTGTGACTTGGCGCTATATAAATAAACTGAATTGAATTGGAATGCTACTATGTGAGAAACTCTAGAGAGAGGGGCTAAAATAAGATAAGATAAGATAGAAATTTATTGATCCCGCAGGAAATTGTTGTGCCAAAGTTTTAGGTACAAAGGAACTCTGGCACAACAAGAAATCACACAGGATATAAAAATATGAACAATTAAGCTCTAAAACAGGTCAGGAGCAGACAGAAACATTAAAGTGTATACTGTAGTGCAGCTTTGTGGAGAAGTGTGGACAGAACCACCCTGCAACTCAACATTAGAAAAACCAAAGAGCTGCAGGTGTGCTACAGGAAGAAGATCAGCCCCCCCCCCGCCCCCCCCAAACCGTATCAACATCAAGGATACTAAGGTGGACCGTGTGGACTGCTTCAAGTACCTGGGGGTCCACCTAGACAATAAACTGGACTGGACAGCTAACACCAATGCCATCTACAAGAAAGGAGAGTCGCCTTTTTCTTTGGAGGAACCTCAGACCTTTTAACGTCTGCAGGACCATGCTGCATATGTTTTACCACTCAGTGGTCTTCAGCATCTTCTTCTACGCTGTGGTGGAACTGCAGTCTCTGACAGGTGTCTGAGCAGAGGATGCTGAGGAAACTTCTCCAGATCCTGAACAACACATCACACCCCATGCATGCCACACTTGACTCACCGCAGCACATTCAGTCATAGACTGAGACCACCAAGGTGCTCCACAGAACACCACAGAAAGCCCTTCCTCCCTGTGGCTATCAAACTTTTCATCTCCTCCCCTTTTCTATACATAGGACATATATTTGAAGGATTTGGGAACCATGGAAACTGGTTGATGGATGATCAATCTGGATGATACCGATCATCCGTATTGACTCTGAAACAACTTCAGACCCAGTGTTACAACATTGGAGCAAGGAATCTGCTACCATACCTAGAGACTGACAAGGTACAACAAAGATGCTTTGGCAAGGGGAAGCCAGGAAGACAGGTCAGGGGGATATACCATCATATGCATACCAAGCTCTGAGGAACTGAATACATGAGCAGAATGAAGATTGTGTACTTTCTGAAATTCTGCTAGAAGATAAGAAAAAAACATATTTTATTCCCCTCTTATTTCCTTTTTTTTTACTCAGTTAAGATTTGTTAAATTGATTTACTGCTGTGCATCATCCTTTGGTTATTAGTTATGTTGTATTCTCTCTATCACAGAGAGTGGATGTTTTAGGTTCAAAGTAAATATTACAAGCTACAGTAATGGATATAATGCATATGCCTTTTCTTTTTGCCAAATGTAACATAAAGTAATTGTTGTTGCCTATCCATAATAACAATATGCATAAATGCTCCGACACTATTGATATCAAAACTTAAGTGCAATGGTTTCAGTATCAATCTTGATATGCCATACTTTAGATTACATTTGTCATTTAAAGTAAGCACCAATAATGATATTGTGGATACATTGGATTTAAATTTATGTATTTCATTCTGTGAAGTAATTTTGTTTGAGTGCAAATGTTAATACAATGGCTTCTTCACATTTTCCCCCACTAGCATACCTGTGAAGAGCTGCTGCAATTAGTGTCATGGTTACATATTGGCTTTCTAAAGCTTCTCTGAATTAATAATGCACATTTGCTTGCAGGCACAAATTTATATAGCTGAAAAATGGTTATATGACCAAGAGCTCTTACTTATATTTGTTTTTTTTATTCATTTTGTTTACTTCAGCATTTAAACCACCACTGGCATTTAAAATGACCTTTTGTAAAAAGTAATACATTATTATGAACCCCTGGCCATACCTGTGAACTTATCATAACTGCAGGTCTACGTTTTACATAAGGACTCTGTCAAAGCAAGTTCAATACATGTATCGCAAATGTTATATACCTTTAGGGCCTTGTTTTACTGAATACAGCACATTATATATATACACACACATTTTTGCAACCTAAATGTCATTAAAAGGCAAATAACTTGTTAAGAATACCACTGAAATAACTTGCTGAACATTATAAGTAAATAAATATGAGATGCTTAAACTTCTACATGTTGTTTTTGTCTTTGCAGAAATGTTTGAAATTCAATGTGGATGCTCCTATCTGGCTGTCCAAGCAACGGATCCTGTGCACACTCAACCAGAGCTTGAAGGATGTACTCAACTATGGCCTGTTTCAGCCAGCATTCAATGGCAAGGCTGGCAAGTTTCTGGATGAGGAGAGACAGCTTAGAGAATACCCCTTCCCATCTTTTGCTCCTGTTCCTTACCTGGAGGTAGGTGTGGATTATGAATACAAAATGCCAATGATTATGACCAAAAGAGACCACATGCCACTACCCCATACATAATACAAGTCAATGATTTCCATAATTTTAGTCAACCTCGCATTAGGAATGTGCGATATGACATAAAATTCATATCACAATATGTTTTGCGGCGATAACGATATATATCGTGATATGATTTGGTATAAAACGTACAATAGGAATTTTAAAAAAGCATAGGGTGTCCTTTTGCCATCGTATATTTTGAATAAAAAAAATTCCACCGCTAGGTCTAGAGTTTTTAAATAATAAACAAATCAAGTATTAAGCTTCTTTCTTGTAGTGCAAAACAGTGCAAAAGATATCAAATGTTGTTTTAGCCATATGTTTTAAACAAAAGTACATGTTAACTCTTAACAGTTTCCAGTCTTCTCACTTGAGAAATGAACAGCAACAGAGCAGCATTTTACACTGAAACACTTCACCCTCCAACCCTCTAGTGGGCGTCTCCTTCCGCTTTAATGGAGAGCTGACAAAAAATGACTGTGGCTTTGACCAGAGGGTCTCACAGTAAAATCACACAGCATAGCGTTCTTTTCACAGATCAGAGAGCAGATTTATCTAAAGATGTCCAACGCTTACTTTACCTTTCGATGGAAAAAAAAACCTTTTGAAGGAACACAGCGTTTTGCGCATCCATCTGAATACGGCAACACTACGGCAAGCCAGCTGTAGTTAGCTTGTAGCTTTGCTACTTAGCTCTCGAAGAAAATACTTGAACGCCACTTGCGCACAGTTTTCAACTTAAAAAAAGTAAAGATTAAACTGACAACTCTGATTTTATATCAGACACAGCATTACTGCGGTTAGCCGGTAGAAGACAAATCTCTATCGTAGACTAAATTTCTATCGTTTCTTCCATGTACCATTTATATCGCGCATTCCTACCTCACATACTTGCTAAGAAAATATTGATTTATGTTAAAATTGTCCGTTTTTACTACTACTACTACTACTGCTGCTGCTGCTGCTTACTGCTACTAGTACAAATGTACTATTATAGTACTAGTACCACTCATCACCACAAAACTATTCCAACACTATTGTAGTGAATAAAACATTGTATAACTGTATTGCTGTTTTTTTAGGTCCCTAAATATTGAGCTAAACTCATTTGTGTTTCTAATTTCTGTTTGTGTGTAGTACTTTTTCTTTCTTTATCATGTTGTCTCAGTCAAACATCGGAACAGCGTTGCTGTCCTCAGTGACAGTGTTGTCTTGAGCAGCTGTTGTCTCTCAGAGATAATTGCAGTGCTTGTCCATCATAGTTTGTAATCAGAGAAAATTGCAGGCACAGAAAATCACTTCACAAACACTGAACAAAGTTGGCTCAGCAGATTGACAGGTTTATGCTGAGTAAAACCTTCCCTTTGACTTTCACGTGTGCTTCACCAATTCAGTTGTACAAACTTATACAAACAATTTTCTTGTCATATATTATACAGGGGTGCACATAATTTTTTTAGTGGGCTCCTCAGGTGAGTACCAGGAGATGGTGTTTGGTACTCGCTCCATATGCAGCTTTGTCTTAATAAGTGCCACCTTCCTCACTGTCCTCAGTGTCACTTCCACAATCCTCTTGGCTCTGTTTGGTGCTTCCTTGTAGGTGGTGAAATGCCAAAGAACCTGCTTAATGTCTGTTGTTTCTTGGACATCTCCAGCAGTAGGTGTGTATAGTGGTGTTGACAAGGCTTAATTTGTAAACCGGTCAATGCCGGAACGCAAATAGCGGACAGACCGGCTGGGGGTGGGGGGTCCTACAGGATGTGCATGCTCACAAGAGAAGAGCCTGACAAGTTGTTTATTAACTCAAATATATTTTGTTAGCAAAGAATAAAGTCCTAACATTTATTAATCGTTACTTCTGTATTTACAAAATAAAACCACATCAAAATTGTGCTTTGACAAACTCATCAATAAAACTAAAAAAATGCTTATGCAAAAGAGGAAAAGAGGGGGCAGGTATCACTCTCGCTTTGAGTTTATACTCTTTGTTGCATGCGTGCTGTGGGTGACAAGCGTCCTGATCATCATAAAAACAGCAGCGGAGGTGTTGGAGTTATTTATTTATCGTCTCAGCAGCAGAAGGGATTACCACGGTTCAAGCATGGCTCCCAAAATGATATGGCAGTCATATTTGTTCATAACTTTATTATTATTAAGCCTGGGAGTTACCGGATCCAAGCAAACAGTTGCTGGATCGCACCCTGTCAAATAAAGAGAGTTCTAGGATTTTGTTCCGGCAGGATCCGGGTCCAGTTAAGCACTGGATGTTGATCACTTCACGGTCAAGTACGCAAAGGCATGTGGTAACACAGGTGATGCTACACATTCCTGATTTTTGTTGCGCATTCATACCTGCATACCAGTTATGTGCACTCCGGTTGTGTGTGTGTGTGTGTATATGTATTTTTTCTTTTTCTTTTTTTTCGGCTGCTCCCTTCTTCAGGGGTCGCCACAGTGAACTAAGTTGCACGAAGACAGCAACTGATTTTACGCAGGATGCCCTTCCTGATGCAACCACAGGCCACTGAGCTACCACAGCCCTCTGTGTGGATCAGAGAGCTGCCATCTAGGATGCCAGGGGGAGCAGATGGTGGGGGTTATGGGCCTTACTCAAGGTCCCAGAGTGGGGCAAATGAGGGTAGAGTCAGGTGTGGGTGTTTCACCTTTCCCACCCACATTTTTAATGTTGTCAGTACCTGGAGTTGAACCGGCGATCCTCCAATCCCAGGCCCAATTTCTCTAACCCACATGTGTATATATATATATATATATATATAGTGCAGGGCAGCACGGTGGCGCAACTGGTAGAGCTGCTGCCTCTCAGCGAGCAGGTCCCTGGTTCAAACCCCGGTCCAGGGGCCTTTCTGGGTGGAGTTTGCATGTTCTCTCCGTGCATGCATGGGTTTTCTCCGGGTACTCCGGTTTCCTCCCACAGTCCAAAAACATGCATGTTAGGCTGATTGGTAACTCTAAATTGTCCCTAGGTGTGAGTGAGAGAGTGAATGGTTGTTTGTCTCGTTTGTCTCTATGTGGCCCTGTGATGGACTTGCGACCCGTCCAGGGTGTACCCCGCCCCTCGCACAGTGATTGCTGGACATGGGCACCAGCGACCCCGGTGACCCAAAATGGAATAAGCGGGTAAAGAAAATGGATGGATATCTAGTGCATGAAAAGGAAAAGACAAACAAGAATATTGAGATACTCTGCGTCTTGCAACCAGTAAATGTTTCAAACGTTTTAAAGCTTATGCAACTTCTTAACTTAAAAAAAATAAAACAAGACTACTAAAGAAACAGATTGCATCAGATCTTATAAATAATCTTCCTCTCCTAACGGTGATTGCTGAGTGGTTGATTTGGGTTAGTAATGCTAAGAATAAACAGTTGTGTTGTAAAGTATATTCTTCTCCTCTCTTTATTCTTTAATTGTTATTATACACTATTCTAAAAAGAATTTTAATTATTTTCCTTACATTGATGCAAAAATACATCTAAGTAAATGATCCATTTATCTTTAAAAAAGTCAAAGCAATCAAACTTGAATTTGTTTGATGAAGTCTTGTCTGAATTGATTTTCCCCCTGTATGTTACATTTATAAATGTAATAGCAACAATCAAGTTCCCATGTTTGAAAAATATTTACCTTAAATACAACCTTACAATACAATCCTCAGAAGCTACAAATGGTCCAGAACTCAGTTGCCTGTGTCGTCACTCAAACCTCCTCCTATAACCACATCATTCCTGTCCTGCAGCAGCTCCACTGGCTCCTGGTTAAATCACGCATCGTCTTCAAAATTCTTCTTCTTGCTTTCATATATATCCCCAATCTTGCCCCCCTACTTATCTGACCTCCTACACATCTCCATCCCCTCTCGCTCTCTCAGATCCTCCTCTTCACTACACCTCCATGTACCCTCTGCCCGCCTCTCCACCATGGGGAGCAGGGCCTTCACCTGCTCTGCCCCTCATCTCTGGAACTCTACCACCAGACCTACGAAACACCACCTCTCTTTCTCTGTTCAAGTCTACTCTGAAAACACCTCTTTTTAGACTTGCTGATCATTCTCAACTTTGTTTTATGTATTTTATATTCTTTATGTATTTTACATGTCAGTTTATTCCTGCTGGTCTTAGCATTGAGTTTTTACACAATATTATCTGTTATGTTTCTTGCTGTAAAGTGTCCTTGGGTGTCATAAAATGCGCTTTTTAAATAAAATTGTTATTATTATTATTACTATTATTATTATCATCATTATTATAACCTTAGATAAACCACAAGACATTAAAGGTTACAAAATGTTTGTATTTTTGTTGGTTGCAGTACTTTGATCCTTTTAGTTTGTGCTGAACTTTAAAGTTGTTTTAGTATTACAGTCCTTGATCTTTTTCTGAAAAGATGTGTGCTTTTAGAACCATGATTGTGATTGTTTGAAGCCAACCCATCTTAAATATGTATGTCAGGGGATCTGACTTGTTTTTAATGTCATCAAATGTGCTAGAATCATACACACTTTTTACTGTGTGCTTTTTTGCAGTTTTCATAGCAAATTGTTCCAAAGTTACTCCTGTCCACATCTTTCTTTTAGGGCTTGAACCTCAGTCTAAACCTTTTTCTCTGTAAAATGTGTATGGTTCTTCTTTTCCTATGTCTATGCATATATAATACCGTTTTGTGTTTTTACTCTTGACAAATTACCTGTTCAACTAGTAGAACTAAGTTAAAAATAAGGAAAAGCACTCATCAGTGAGTGAATCTGCTTGTTTTAAAAGTTGTCTAATCAGTCTAGTGATCATCCATTCCTATACATAAAATTAGAATTTTTTTTTCTTGTTTTGCAATATATGCTTTATAGTCAGGGTCAGAGTTTCTTTGTCATACATGTGGTACATGTGGCTGAACAAAACTGTGTACATAGGGTCCCAGTTACATCCAACAAAAGTATAAAATGTAAAAGAAAAACAGTAATAAGATCTAAGATATGAACTAAAAAAAAGTTAACTAAAAATACGCTAAGCACTAGTAGTACAAAAACAATACGAAGAACAGCAGCACGAACATGAGTCTGTGTGAGCAAATTAGTATGAATGAACACAGCAACATAAAACAAATCAGCATTTTTCACAGTGATTATCCTGGTTACAGATTCATGAGTTTAACACCCTCAGAGTGGAAGCTGTTCATCAGCCTAGTGGTTCTACACTTAATGCTCCTTAACCATCTTCCTGAGGGGAGCTGGGCAAAAAAAGTGTATGCTTGGTGAGTGGGGTCCTTCATGATGCAGGTGGCTGCCTTCCTGCATCTGGAGGTGTAGATGTCTGTGATGGTGGGGAGGCTGACTCTAACAGACTTCTGTGCAGCTTCACCACTCTCTGCAAAGCTTTTCTTTCTGCAGCTGTGCAGCCTCCATGCCACATATTGATGCTGGAGCACAGGATGCTCTCCACTGCACACCTGTAGAAGGAGGTGAGGACTGAGCTTCCCAGACCATCTCGCCTCAGCCGTCTGAGGAAGTAGAGTCTCTGATGAGCTTTCTTGATCAGGCTGGTGGTGTTGTTGCCCCAGCTGAGGTTGTCATTCAGGTGCACACCCAAGTACTTGTAGCTAGAGCCCATTTTCACCACAGGTTCTCTTATGTTCGTGGGAGGGGGAATAGGTGTGTTTGTTCCGTCTGAAGTCCACGACCATCTCCTTCATCTTCTTCACATTGATGTGAAGGTTATTCTCTCTGCACCAGCTCTCCAGGTTTTCCACCTCCTGCCTGTAGCTAGACTCATCATTGTTTGTGATGCATCCCACCACCACTGTATCATCTGCAAACTTTACAATATGACAGCCTGGATGGGTAGGTGTCATACGTGAGCAGAGTGAACAGTATAGGGCTCAGTACATAGCCCTGAGGGGAGCCAGTGTTAAGGGTTATGGTGGAGGAGGAGATGTTGTGAATCCTCACTGACTGCAGTCTGTTTGTTAAGAAGTCTAGGACCCAGTTGCAAATGGAGGGGCTTAGTTCTAGTGTGGTTAGTTTGTCCATCAGGGTTTGGGGAATCATGGTACTGAAGGCAGACGTGAAGTCCACAAAGAGCATACAGATAGGAGCCCTTCTGCTCCAAGTGGCTGAGAGCAGTGTGGACCACAGAGGAGATGGCATCTTCTCTTGATCGGTTCTCACAGTATGCGTACTGATGAGGGTCCTCGTTGATGTTGATGCTTGTTTTGATGTGAGTCACGACCAGTCTTTTGAAGCATTTAGCGACTATCGGGGTGAGGGCTACTGGCCGATAGTCATTCAGACCAGTCACTGTAGAGCTCTTTGGGACTGGGATGATGGTGGCGATCTTCAGGCAGGTGGGAACTGTTGCCAGGGTGAGTGAGGAGTTAAAGATGTCAGCCAGCACCTCACAGAGCTGATCGGCACATTCTTTCAGAACCTTCCTGACGAAGTTGTCTGGGCTGGTTGCTTCATGAGGATTAATCCTCCTGAAAGTACTCCTCACTTCAGCTGAGGTCATGCTGTGTCAAGTTGAAGTTAGTTTTTTCATTCAACCTTTATTTAGACAGGTAAATCCCATTGAGCCTCGAGGACTCATTTACAAGAGAGACCTGATTTCAACAAAGAATGATGACAACAATGGACAACAGCGACAACAATAAACAGTTACAAAAAGTCATCAGTTAATTGTTTTTTTTAAACAAATAGGATGGCTAAAAGAAAAATGTAACAAAAAAAACCCCCCAGCTAAATTCTAAGGCAAATGTAGAAAACTAAAAACAGGAACATGTCTGCATTGGTCCCTGCCAGGAGTCTAACAGATTCTTAAAGCCACTTAGAGAGGTCAAGGTCGAGAGCTTCAATTGTTTTTGTAAGATATTCCAGGAAACAGGAGCGGAGTAGGAGTAGTTAAAGAGTTAAAGAGCTTTCTGACAAATTTATGAATTTGATTAGAAATGCTTTAAATGAGATGACAGTTGTTTAGGGGAAGATATGTTTGTTAAGCTCAGTGGTACTGAAACATTATTTAGAGGTAAAGTATATTTATCCTTTCTGTTTCTGCTGATTCTCTAATTTGGTAGAAATAATCACACGGTTTTGTTTTTTTGAGTGGCTAATTAAATATTTTTATCAAATGTTTTGTGAAGATACAAACACAAGTAAAAGGTATAAACTAAAGTCTATTTTGTTTCATTTGTTTCAGTTCCGCTACAAAAGACGTGTCTACACTCAGACCTACTTAGATGAAAAGCAGTTGTCTAAGCTCCACACCAAGGTAAGACTGAACAGCTGTGGACCGAGTCTTTTTGTTTGTGAAACCTTATGCTCTGGGATTATGGAAATTGAAGTTCTTAAAATGTTGCCTTTATCTTTAATAACTTGAGGTAATTTATTGATAAGGTGAAGAGCTATACACATTATAACACTTTGAAGTCCTTTTGATATTTATGTACATTCACACACATTTTTCTGCAGTCCCATCCCAAAGGTTGGTCAGATGCAGAGCACAACTCATAAACTTCTGAAATAACAACATCTCTTGTATAAAGGCTGTTAAATACAATTTATGATCTATTTACACAAGTAAAACATAAGTTCAGGTCTCTCTTGTAAATGAGTCCTCGAGGCTCAATGGGATTTACCTGTATAAATTAAGGTTGATTGATTATATTTTCCCACAAAAATTCATATAATAATATAAAATATTGTAATGTACAATAAATGTAATATATTTCACATAATCATGTAAGGATGTAAAATTCTGTCTAAATAATAATTTTTCTACTAAGAGCAGTTTTTGACAGATAAAAACTCCTAAATGTACAGTATTACTTTTTTTTTTTACTTCAGAGCAGCACGTCACAAATATTGGCCATAAATATAGAATGTATGACAACAAAGTTATATTTTGTATCAGTCCTTTTGCCGTTATTTACAATGTAAAGGTAAAAATGATTAAACATGATCGATGTTTACTATCGCCATTTACCCAGAAGGCATTGCAATGTAAACAACAGTGGTGATTTTTCAAGAAAGGTGTATAAAAATTAAACAGTTGATAGTATTTTTGCAATATTGTTTTTATAGCTGAAGCACATGTCCATCAAATGAGATTTATTGTTCCAAGTCGTTGGAGATCCCGTTAACAAAACGAACAAATGAAAACATACAGCAGGTCTGTAGGTGGAGCGGTGTAGTCTACATTTTTGTACTGGGATACTGTGCTTGGAAACTGAAGTACACTGGTTAGTACAATGTAATTGTCAATTTATTTAGATTTTTAAGCATACTGAACATGTCCAAATTTCTCTGATGCTTATATTTGAATAAATCAAAGGCATGTAAACCCATTTTTATTGTAACGTAATTTTCTACTTTCAAAGGATTTTTTTTTTCCAGATTAGCTGTAGTTTCTTCTTCTTATTTATTTCCTGATAGCTCTGGTTATGTTTTAGTCTCATAAAGAGGGTCATACACTCTGTGAATTTGATGGTTCATTCATGTGTAATTGAAATCGTCTCTTAAGGCTATGTGGACTGATAAACGTCTTATATAAGGAAAGGCATGCACCCGTAGAACCCTTTTGCATCTCACGCAAACAAAACCACTTTTTTGCCAAGAATGCACTATTAAATATAGTTTTGTAGTTATTTTTATCAAAACACTGTTTGATTACAGAAAAGCGATATTTTGAGCACTCTTATTCTAAATTAATGGGACCATGAATGTCTAAACTGAGCTTAAATTAGTGCACAGGTGTTTTACAGTTTATACTGATAAAATTTACATCAAAGTAAAATCAGTGAATGAGTATGAGATGCTACTGTTATGACAAAAGGCTTTTGGATTAAATATTTAAATCAAACAAACTGAATGACTGCTTAACATCTAAATTTCTTTTTTTTTTCTTGAACCTTCTAAACACATTCTGTCTGAAATGTATTATGAGCAATAACTGGCAATAATAATCTAATCTTATTTAACTGGAGCAGAATAATAATGCCCTAGCTCACCCCGCTGATCCATTAGTGCAGATGTGTGTGATAGAAAGATAGGTTCCCTGCATATAAAAACAGTAATCCATGGGCATATTGGTCTTGGAGAAGATAAGAGATGTTGGAAGAAGCTTGAGGCAGATGAGCATTAGAGAGCCTTTAATAACACACTATTTCATAATATGGTCATGGGTGCACATAGCACAATACTGGAGGCAAAGCAATTTTTATGCTGTTATCTTAAATGTGTTGTGAATTTATACACAGCATCAAAGTATAAAATGTGCTCTGTGTGGAAAAAGAAAAGAGAGAAGGCCTCATTTACAATAGACTCTTCATAAATTGTATAGCAGAGTAATGCTATTCCTCCTACACTGACATTCTGTAATATCAGAAACACATTTTTGTGTTTATGAATGACAGTCCCTGCATATATTTTCTATTTTAATAAAACTACACAAATAATGTAGCTCATTGAAGGTGTAATTTTGTTACGAGAACCCCTGAGCATTTTATTACTGTCTAAACAGTGTTATTGAGATGGCTGCTAAAATATGTAGGATTTTTGCATAAACGTGTTTACATGTATGCACGTATTTATGCGATCCTCCCATTCTCCCTTCATTTTCCTCATCTGGTTGTACCTCCCTCTGTCTTCTACTTTCTCTGCTCACATTATTTTCCCTCCCTCATCTCATCTGTAGCTCCCTTTCTCTCTCCCCAGCATTGTGCAAAATCCCCCCTTGCCATCTGTTTGTGCATGTACAGAAGTCAGTGAGTGCCTGTTGGTTTGGCTGAGTGTTGGTGTAAGTGACCATGTGAGTCTGCACGTGCTACTTTGCCAAGACGAAAGGAAGTGGAAGAGAAGAGAAGAGTAGTGGAGGAGGAGGAGGGGTCTGGGTATGGCCATGTGGATGTTGCGGCATGAAAACTGTATGTGACCTACTGGACTAGATGTGAGATGTGGTAGTTTGTGAGTGAGATGGGATCTGTTCTGGGCAGAAGACAACAAGATGAGAAAAAAGAGAGAAAAGCAGAAGAAGCTAGAAAAGCCAGACTCAGCTGCAAGGTACTCTGATTACTCTTATCTCGTTCATTTAATTTAGCTACTCATTTATGTTTAATTACATTTTTTCCTCACTGTTTTATACTTTTACTCCAGTGTTACACAGACGCCCCTCATCCCATCTCAACTACCTGTCTACGCTCTTGAGTCACTCTTTGGCTTCCGTTCTGTTGTTATGCTCTGCTGCGTGTTGGCTGTGTGAGAAGCTGGTGCAGTCTTATCTGAAACCCTGACAGAATGCTAATGTTGTTTTCTCCTCTGGTTCGGTTATTCACTGTTTGCTGCAATCGGCTTGTGCGAGTGTGTTTTTATCAGTGTTTGTGTCTGATACGTTGTAGAAAGTGTGTCAAACTGTGGCTAAAGTGAGTGCGTGTGTTTTGTTTTAACCCTCGGAGGAAGTAACAATACCATTTTTTTTGTTTTAGTGTGTTTATACATGACAGTTTTGTACACGGGAAGATCCCCCATCTCAAATATGTTTATATGTGCATATATGAGTTCATGTGCAACTGGAAATAGTTTCATGCATACTTGTGTGTGTAAGAGAACCTGTCAAAGCATCTCTCAGGACAAAAGTTCCCTCAGTCTTTTCACTTAGCTGTCAGACTACTCAGTATGTGTCATATTGTCATTTTAACCTGCTGCTGCTGTTTTCTCATGGAGATGACCTTATGATGTGGGTTGTGTGAGCTATAAAACATTTGTGCTAATGCAAAAGCTTTGACACAGTGGAACCTATTAAAATGTGTATTTGTGCGTAGTACAGTAAGTGTAGTTAGTAGTGTGTCAGAGCTGTCACTCTGTTCAGTAGGAGGCATCTGTCAGAGTACGCCCTGCAGAATGTCTGACATGAGCCACTGCACAGCCAGGCAGCCTGGCTCAATTTTTTTTTTTATATACCCATGAGGTCAGTTGTTGATTCAGTATGTGCAGAATTTATAGGATTATAAACTAAAAGTCACAGCTTGACCCTGTATCATTTAGTTTTAGTCTGCTTAAAATTTCAGTTTGTGTGTACAAGTGTTGTTTTATTAGGTTTTGAACCATATCTAAAATAAATTACAGCATCATGCTTTGTCATTTTTAGACATGACACCAATACCTTACTTCACATTTAGATTTTTGGCATAATCTGAGTTGAGTGTGTAAAAGAGATAATTGGGACAGAAGCGGTGGTGAGTGGGATTATAAAAATGGAATTGATTGTGTTTTGTTGGGTATGGTTTAAAACCAGGTCATGTAGAAAGTCTGGATTGAGGCGGTTTATAATATACAGTAAGTTCTGCATATTTTCTGCACGTACTGTGTGTAGGTGATTCTCAAGCTGTTTTGTAATTGTTTTTGAAATTCTAATAAGGTGTAATTGTTTTAGGTCTCAGTATTATGCTTTACAATGTAATTAATTTGTTTTGCATCTCACAGATCATAAATGATGTCTGAAAGTCTCTTTAAAGTTTTTCCATAATCCAAAAAGCGCTTTTGTAAAATGTTAAATGGTAAATGGACTGTACTTATATAGCACCTTTCTAATCAAGATACTCAAAGTGCTTTACCACACAATCTGTGCCTTTATTTTCCTCCACACATTCATACAGGACTCTACTACATCTCTACAAATTAATTGAACAACTTATTTTAAAGAGATTAATCAGTGGTTTTAGATCACATTCAAACACCGATGGGACACACATCAGATGCATTGAGGGGTTCAGTGTCTTGCCCAGGGACACTTCAGCATGTGACTGCTGGTGGAATCGAACCCCCAACTTTCCCATTGGACAACAACTGTTCTAACCACTCAGCCACAGCTGCCTGATTAGTGATATGTTGACAACTTAAACTGAAAAAGTTTAGAAGGCAGTGGGACTTTTTCTCCTTGTTAGATGTTCAAAGCGTTCCTCCGCAGTACAGACTTCTCCATGGGCTCTTAAAGCCTTGTGAAAGTGGCGTCAGGTGAAAGTGCTGACTTTTTTTACTCTGCAAAAAATGTCTGTCCTTTTGTTTGAGACAACAATGGTGTTTCTGACAATAATATTGTTTTATCCATTGTCCTCCTTTTCTTCTGTCCGTCTGTCCATCCATCCATCCATCCATCCATCCATCCATCCATCCATGTTGTTCTTGTTTGGTACATACTGTATCTTCATTGTGAAATTTTTGAATCTCAGTATGTTTTTGTTCCAGCAAATATACATTTTTTGTGCCTGTTTTTTG